ACCTTATGTCAGTCAGTCAGAACTTCTTTTTGTTTAAAACCAGTAGTGGCCATCGGCCTGATTTGCAGCGTTGTCAGGCTCGAAAACTACCAACCGAAATTCGGAAAAGTGGTTTTATTTCGACAATAGGCAGTTTTATAATATAATGTCCACAATAAGCTCAAGTTATTTCCGTCAGGTCTGGATGCTGGTTTTGGACCCGGATTCTTCCCGACTACCTCACAGTCTGTAAAAGTAATGTTCTTTTAAATTAGCGTATGTGCTATGGAAAGCGTTCATTAGAATATTCGGTAGGGATTCAAAAGTGGGACCGTCTAATAGTACTAGGAGTTGCTCTAATAGTTTTCCTGATCTATAGGGTTCCTTTGTTAACCAATAGGAGTTATTGTTGTGGTTTCTTGGTCTATAGGCTGCCTTTGCTGAACAATAGGAGTTGCTCTTACGGTTTTCCTGGTTTTTTGTTCTTTCCGCAGCCTTTCCACCTACGTTTTAGTTCAGTAAAACTATTAAAAGCGGACCTACATAATTTATTTCCTACTATGCACTTATCCCACTTTGTGTGTGGGTGTTCGACCATGGATTTCGATGAGGTACACCAAGTGCACCAAAAGGTCGGTACAGAAGGTGCCAGTCTCAAGGGGTACTTTAGAGTGATAACGGACGTAGTTTGCGCCAACCGCACTCTTCACCTTCATCGTGGGTCAAGAACACCAGACTGGATCCGGCGTTGGTCGCTTTCTGCAATGCAAGTCATAAACACCGCCTAACTGGGTTTTAAGTGACAGTAGACGTTACGCGGGTACTGCCGCACTATCTACCCTCACTCACCTTCAGGAGGTGTCAAAGACAGGCTCAATAAGTAAAGCATTTTAAATAATAACACATGTCCTACCATGCCTTAAGGTCGTAAAGTTTGCTGTTTGTAGATTACCTATAGGCCTACTACAGTATCTATCTGTAGCTTGAACTCTACACAACGTGTTCTAATGTCAGCTCTAGCCCAACAGTAGGTGTGAATCTTGGTTGATGTTTGAGGCCCGGATCACACAAGAGTTTTCATTGGTTTTTGCCCCCTCACCTCTGTCCACCAAAAGCTTTGTCACATTGTACTAAGTTTGGGCTAGGATACTGCTGCTAGGTGTAATATGCCGCTGCTAAGAGTCCTAATTCTATTAATCATACTAACTAAGACCGACGGATAGTATATTCTGGTAATAAATTTCTATAATTGTATCAATAGTCGACAGGCGTCCCATAACATTCCAACAAGTATAACAAATGAGAATACGAGCTTACGCGAGTCCTAAACTGCATCTGAGTTGATTTGTAAGACACCCGGGCGACCGTTCACGTCCGGTAGATAAGTGAGACTGTCAACAATAACTTGCAGTGCGCATGAACCACACATTAACTACGCATTGATCAAGCATTAAAACTTTAACCACGAATTCCGAGACACTTGCGCTGGGAGACGTTTGCCGCTGGACGGCTCTGCGATGAATTCTTCTTCTTTTACTCATTCGCTATGAAATAACGTTTTCTCCCCATTTTTTAACTTGAGAAAGATGTCTTTCGGTTTTCAAATGCTTTTAATTACGAGATTTGCTGTAAAAAGTAGCTATTTAAATAGTATACATATTTATAATTGCTTTTGACTGTCTTTATAAATTCAGCTATATTTTATGGAAAACGTGAACGAAAAAATGATTTCTTGTACTCGCTTGGTAGCAAGTTACGCCTTCTTCAAATTTTATACTTAAAGAAACGATATCTTTCGTTTTCAAAGAAGTTTATAAAATGCCGAATAATTTTGAAACCTACTGACTGTTACACTCGAATTCAAGGCTTACAAACTGCGCACGGTGTACATAATCTTTAAGAAGAAGTATGTTTTCGCCTACGGTTTGGGGTGGAAGTCACATAGTTCTCATCAAATGTTGCAGTAGGCGTGGAGCGTGTTTTATACAATATAGGCAGCATTAATAAGTTGAGGGATACGATGTATTATGAATGAAAACCTCACAATCGTAAAAAAAACTCATAATTAGAAATTTTTTAAAACTGAAAGTTACCCTTTCTTTAAGTATGCAATTTAAAGGACGTGTAATTTGCTACCTAATGAGTACGAGAAATAATTTTTTTTCGTTCACGTTTTCCATAAAATATAGTTGAATTCATAAAAACAGTCAAAATAAATGATAAAAGCGCATACTATTTAAGTAGTTACTCTTTACGGCCTATACGCTTTGTAAGTGATGAGAACGAAGCTCATTTTAATGCTCGCATCTTATCCTGACTGCAGTAACTTCAGAATAGACTACACGATAATCGGTATCACACCCTGAGTCAATGCCGATTAGCGAAAGAGTATCAATCTTTCGCATACATCGGCATATTGCATGAATTCTGGCGCGTACTGTATTTAAGTATATTTATCTAATTCTGGCGGTATCTAACTTAACTAAACTAAAACTAAAAGTAGACTAATAAAATCAAAAAATTACTGTTTCTTCCTGCTAATTAATCGTTTGTTACCATTAACCAATCGGCTTGTTCTCCTTCTTCTTTTTGCACAGGCCCTGGTTCTCGTCTGTGTCTTCAACGAGGATCAGTCCGTGGGTGACAGCTTCACCACTTGTACGGCCTCGCCCTGGTCGCCCCCCTTCGCCACTGACCCCTACCTGCCAGCCCTGTTGGAAGTGCGCTCCTCCAATGGTAAGATGGGCTCCATAACCGAAGGCAAACTGGACTCCGCCCACGTTGGCCCCTCTGATCTCTACACGGTCTCTATAGTCGCTGTGATCCTCGGAGTTGCTGTGGTCACCACGATTTGCACCGTG